ACCTTGAAAACCCAATTATATAAAACCTGAAATAGCATCATGGATTTAAAAAATTAGTCTGGGACACGTAGCATAACCTGGACCTGCTCCGGGCAAACAGAGACATACCTTCACTATGGTATGTCTAACACACAGCTTTTCCCATAATAGATGATCAATAAATTGTGTTCATTGGAAAAAAAGCACTTAGCAATGACTGTTAACATGCAGATTCCTGGCCCCCTCCTCTCAGTATGTCTGGGGTGGGACTCAGGGGTCAGCATGTTAAGGAGTTCCTGGAGGCCAGCAGTCCCGTGGACCATACCTGAGATGCTGGGCGGAAAGTCCTAGGGCTCTCATACTCTTTCCTTATTGGCCACCCTCTGCCACGCCAATTGCCTTACTGTCCCCCAAACATGGCATACGCCCCCCCATCTCCTCACTTTTGCTCTGACATTCCACTTGCCTCACATTGGCTCTATGCTTGCTCAACTCCTTCTACCATAACCAGTAGTGGGCTACAGCACACTTGGGGGATGGAGGACTGGAGACATGCTCCCCAGATGGCACAGCAGAGTATCGAAGTTTAGGAGTCACAGGACTTGAATTTAAAGGGTGGGACAGACGGCACTACCTGTGTCTCAATTTTCTCATCAGTAAAGGAGGCTGTCACTACCTACTTGACTGGGTTGAACGTCTTACTAAAATATAAACGGGATTATCAGCAGCAGCATTTTGGTCCCTGCCTCTGCCCAGCCATGCCTCTGGCCCGAGCACGCAAAGCCGTCGGAAGGCAGGGCCAGAGCCCACAGCTCTGGACTACACCGCAGCCTGTTCACCGCTGGGCCCTCGGGCAAACAGCTCAGCTCAGAGCAGCCCCAGGGCCATGGGAAGAGCTCAGGGGTGAGGAAGGTGCTATGCACCCTGAGCCCCTCGGGGCGGCGCTGCGCACCCCTTTCCCTCTTTATGGCCTTTGTCCCCAAGGGAAATTAGAAGTGGGGGATGGGGAAGGTTGATGCGGTGGGCTGGGAGGGAAGGCAGGGAGGGGTTGGCCACGGAGGCCACTCCCATGGCTGGCGCCTCTGTGGGGTGACCTTGGCTGCTCCAACTTGAGGACCCACCTGACCTGGGCCCAGGATGGCAGCAGCCTGGAGTGGGGTGGGGAGCTGCAGCATCCTTAGACAAGACTGCTCTAAATGGGGTCACGCTGACACCAAGGCTGTGGCTGTGTCCTTGATATCCTATTTTTAAATAAAACTTAAGCTCAAAAAAGAAAGGCATGCTTGGCTAATTCAAATTAGTAACCAGACCAAATGAAGTCTGGTCACGAGCTCGCTGGCAGACACTCACGAGCTCACAGGCTCTCTGAGTGGCTGGGAACCGTTTCTATCTTGTTGACAAACACATGTTGCAAGACAGGAAATTACCCTCCTCAGTGCCTATTTTATCTCTGTTTAATTGCTGTTTGACAATAAATTACAAGAGAGTCCATTAATTAAGCTAACAATGTCCATGGAACACCAGTTCCTTCTTCTGGGAGTTGCCTTATTACAGAGCCTGAATCAGTCTCCATTAACCTGCAGCACTTTATGAAGCAGTTTATAAAGATGCCCAGGCATGTGACTGGTGGGGACCAACTCCTGGTGCAGAGGGAGCTGTTCAGGAGGAAGGGGAGAAACCTTGATGAGCGGGGGAGGGGGGGAGCCTGGCGGCTGGAGGGCAGGACCCAGAGTGCACTCTAATTCTGAACACATGGTAGAACAGAAAACAACATTAGATTTACTTTAAAAAATCAGCGACGGAAGACAACCATGACCGACATATAGTACGAGTCCTAGAAGTGGAGGTAGCAGCGAGCAGCCTAATTTGGTCTGCCATTCTGTAATCAGTTACGAGGCAAGAGCATGCGTTAGGGAAAGTTCTGCATGCAGGTGGAACTGGTGAAAGATTAACTGCAGTTATTTCCCAGCGAAGGTCTGGGTCCTGGGCTATGAAGGCCACTAAGCTCCCAGCAGAAAAGGAGGACTTGGTGCCTGGCTCCTGTCTCCGCAGGGAGCAAACAAGTGGCCATCTTCAGGGTGAAGACTCGGTAAATTTTGCCCACGCTGTCTGGGAGAAGGGCACCTGGGCATACCTGCTAGCTCTGTTTAGGACCCTGAGGGAGGGGATGCAATAGGCGCGAAGGCTCTGGATAGAAGGGTGAAGAAGCTCAAGTTCATGGGGTCTGTCCCAGACTATGCTTGGAGCTATGAGCATCATAAGGGCATTTGAGGGTGTTCTGAGTAGCCAGGGCAGACAGGGAGGCCAGGGGGCCTTGGAGGAGGTAGTCATAGAAGGCAGACACAGCCACCTCAATGTGCTGGTCCTCAGGTTTAACCAAGAGCTTACTAGTGGATCAGAAAACCTTCCCCTGAAACACTCAAATAAGCCTAGAGCCATCTGAGGAAGCCCTCAGAGCTCTGGGAGACATTCAGTAGGCCATCCTTACTCCCTTTCTCATTCATAGAAGTTGGCTTTGCTGACCAGTTTTTGATTATGCAAATATTTAAACACAATAGCATCTCATTATGTCATAGTTAATAAGTACTCAGTTCAAATGTCACCTATTTAGGAGATTAGAAAAAAAAAGCCTGGGAGTTAAGTGTTCTTCTAAAGCTATTCCTGGCATGTCCTTAAACGACCATCATGTACAGCAATGTGGCCCAGAAGTAGACATCCCCAGGGCTCAGTGTCCAGGCTCCTGTTGCCCTCCTGGCCTGATACCACAGTGTCCTCATCTCTCTCTTCCAAACATCTTGCCTGAGACAAACTGGTCCATCACTGGCTTGTCATTTGGCCTGTCCCAAGATGCAGCCTCTTAAACAAATGACTTGACCATCTCTTGCAGGCCACAGCTTCCCGCCACACCCATGGCTTCCAGGTACTTCACTCTTTAGTCCCCAGGTGGGGAAAACGTATGTAGTCAGTAAGGGTTGGAAGTCAGGCCAGCTCCACAGCATCTATCCCTCCCCGAACTCCTCCAGGTCTCTCTGTGCACAGCCTAAACATACCATTCCCCCAGGTGAGCCCTTCAGTGACTCTCCATTGCCTTCAGGGTGAAGCCTCAGCATCACTGGCATCATCTGGGAACTTGTTAGAAATATAAAATCTCAGGCCCTACCTTGACCTCCTAACTCAGAAACTCGGGATGGGGCCCAGTAGTAGGTGTTTTCCCCAAGCCTTCTAGGTGATTCTGCTGCACACTAAAGTGTGGGCACCCGTGCCGTGGAGCATGCCTTACATGCCACTGCAATCTGCCTCTCCATCTCTCTCCTCTCTCAGCACTTCCTCCCTCTTACATTCTGAACCCCCATCAAACAGGGCCGCCTCTGTCTCCCAGCACCCAGAGCCCCAAGCTATCTTGCTCTTTCCACACTTCCTATGCTGCAGGTTTCCTGCCTCTTTCCTTGTCTCTCTCCAAGTGTAAACCACCGAGAGCAGGGTGGCTGTCTTATAAACTGCCATATACTGTGCAACTGTGACTAGCACCTGCAGTCGGTGATCAAGACACATTTCTTGAGAGGATGAGTGAATGGATGGATGAAGACTCACTGGATTCTTCAGGCCATACTGCCTTTGATGCTAATGCCCCACTTCCCAATGGGAAGGAACCGGTCTTCACAGTCATTCTCCTGCTCCTCACGGGCACTTTTAGTCAATTGTAAATGGCAATAGGGCTCAGTAAACAATCTTGAATTAAATTGATTCGATTTGAACTTAAAGTGCTTTGGTTGTGTTAGAGGGCCTGGGTTCTAGTCTGCTTTGATAACAAGCACTTGCCCTTTCGTGCCTGTTTCCTTATGCGGCCTGTTACCTCCTAGAGTGATTGCAAGGACCAAAGGATTCAGGATTTGATGTGACTGGCATTACGCCCTCGAAGGACCCATCACCTTGAAGGGAGGTGAGGGTCTGGACTATGAGAACTACCTGTGGTGATAGTAGAGGGAACACAATGCTTTTTTTCCAGGTCCTGGCTTAACAGGAAACAGAGTGCTCTGAGCAGAGAAGACCCGCGAGCCTTTATGAACACATGCGTGAGTGTGTGTATATGAATGTGAATTTGCAAGTGAACAGGGGTTTTCACAGGACATGAGAGAGATGGTGGGAGCTTATAGGGTGTTTTGTCCATTGTCTTCCTTTCATAGGAGAATCTGTGAGTCTGGCTTTGATCCAAACATCTGGTACATTGGGAATGAATAATAAATGTTTTCCCAATTTGTAGCTTGCCTTTCATTACTATCGATTGACATAGAAATGTTTTAAATTTTTATGAATGTCAAGTTGGATGACATCTTTGGAGATGTTTATTCCCAATCTTAGAGAATTTCTGCTAAGTTCTTTGTGTGCTCGCACACGCGCACACACACACACACACACACACACACACACACACACACACCCCCGTTGGCCAGCGCAAAGTTGTCAAAGGAAATTCGTTTACCAGGCTGTTTTCACTTTGTTGGTTGACCATTCTTTCCTTTTTGAGTTATCTTGTGTGCCCTCCTGAGAGATCAGGGAAGATGTGTTCTCTGAAATGTCCTGTAAACACCTTCCTCCTTCCCAGTTGGCGTCTGGCTCTTGTACCAGCACTTACAGACCAGGTCACACTTCCCACCGAACTGAAGATGGCCTTTCAGGGTGGACATGTCTGTCAGGTTTTCATGAGGGAATCTGCTAACCTTTTCTTTCAAGTTGTAAGCAGGCTTTTGGTTATAATTACAACACATATACTTGCCTAGTAGCCCATGACTCTCAAATCTATTTACATTTCCCTTTCAGTATGACACGTGCCCATTGACTCTCTCAATGTCTGTGCTGGTGTAACCACTTGTGAACCTTTTCCCTGACTCAGGAATAACCAGAAAGCCCCCACAGAACGGGTAACAGCTACCCAAGCAAGGACAACAGAAGTCACCAGAAGTCCCACAAATCCCCTGTGGGCTACTGAATTTACTCATTTCCTGATCAGAGGTGGCTCCTACCTGGGGTCCCCAGCCGTGGCATGGGTACAGTATTGCTGTGTGGTTCTCCAGTGGCCCCTGGTCCAAGCAGACGTCTTTTGCCTTGTTGTTTCGAAGCTGCAGGAATAGGCAAAACATCATCCATCAGAGCTCATCTGGTGGAGCTGCTGCTGCCCAGCCACTGTTCCACCGTGTCTGGGTCCCAACTACTCAATGAGAAGGTCAAGTGACACCCTACATAGGGACCAAGGCCTGCGTCTGTGAGGCGATCCCTCTAGCAGAGCCCTCAGTGGATGCTGTGGGCACCAATCCTGTGCCTATAACCCTCACCCACACAGCTCCCTTGTCCCCAGCACAAAAAGGGATCTCAGGAAACTATTGGACATAGAAATACTGGTCAGCCATTGGTTATCCAAAGTGGGCTTCAGCACCAACACTGGTTTTTAATAACCCTGGGAATCATGGGTCAGCTTCTCAGGTCATTACCGGCATAGAGGCATGAAAAACAGTAACCAAAATAGCAAATAAAAGTCTGGCCTTCAGGCAACACTTCAGCAATATTTATTTATATATTAAAAAAATATTTACTGAATGCTTATGCTGTGCCAGGCACCATCCTAGGTGTTCATAATGCACCTTCGGAGGAACAGACAAAAGTCCCCAAGGCAAAACTTACCTAATTTGGGCCTCCAGGTGCACTGGGTCCTATATGGGTGTCCATCGCACCCACCACCCTGCAATCTCAACCAGCGGGAAAATGGCAATGCTGGGGTTCCCCCCACACACACAGTCCCCTCCAGATTATAGTCTCCTTGGAAACCAAATTAACCAGAGGTAAATCAAGAAGAGGGGTTCAGAGACTAAAGGGAGGTGGGTCCTGAGCTAACTGTTTAAAAGGGTACCGTGGGAACGGTGCTGGCAACGTTCTATTTATCAGCCGGGTGGTGGTTACGTGGATTTTTGCTTTATACTGTTATGCTGCACATATTCGCTTTAGGCACATGTACCTGTGTTGCATTTCATATAAATAATGCTTAAGGGGAAAAAAAGATGAGTGAAAGTGAACAAGGGGCCAGGGCAGTGCAGGCCATAAGGGGAGTATGGGCCGACCATACAGCATTTTAAGCAGAGGAGTTGGTGGCCCAATGTTTTGTGCCCAGTGATGTGCTTCTGCAAGTGGGGAGGCAGCGTCTCGAACACGCAAGAGTCGGGACATAAAGCATACACATGCCTTTCTTTAAAAATTATTTTAAGACATTCTAGCTAATAGAGGTAAATAAAAATTTAAAATCAACGAAAAGTGAGTTATTATCTAAGTCAGCCTGGGCTCTGACGCTGGATGTCCGCTGAGGACGAAACACCAGGGCTGATGCCTGCTCAGAGGTGTCTGCTTCCCTTTGTCACTGCACTGGGGTCTGGTGCGGGGACAAGACCTGGCAGGAGTGAGCATTAAAGTACAGTTGTCTGAATACTGGTAAATTCTGTCACTCAACTGAATTTGATTACAAAGTTACTCTTAAAGAAGGTATGCCATGCAAATCAAGTGTAATAACGTTTGGGTCTAAAATCCCAGATATTAACAGACTGAAAAGTTGATGAAGAGATCAGAGGAAATGTGTGAAGGTTTTGGTATTACATTACGTTCAACCTGACCTTTCATGTCAGAGGCTCAGAGGTATTTTATTTATTTATTTAGAGGTTATCAAGAGTAAGACATAAACAATCCAAATGACTACAAAGATTTGAAAGACAAAAAAACCAAGCCAGGTTAAAAAAAAAGTAGAAAAGAGAAAAGAGCATAAAACGGAGAACTATTCACAGCCCAGGGAGTCTCAGACAGAACTGCACATGAGGAACGAGGACTGAGGGCTGCATCTCCAGTAGGAGGCCACTCTGCCTCTTCCTTTCCCATTGCCTCGTCTGCTGCCGTGAAAAGAACCAGCAGGAGTTGCGTTTTAAGAATAGAGTTGTCTAAATAATGGTAGATTTTGTTACGAACTTATTTGATTAGTTTGATTTCTCTCATTTAATGCTATAGTCCATCTGAAATATATTTCAGTTAATGGTGAACTCAGCAGAAGACTAGCAGCAAATGCCTAAAATGTTAACACTGATCATGCCAAGGAACTGGGAATTGGAGTAAATTTTGTTTTCATCTTTATATTTTCTACAGAATGTATGCATTACACTTATTACTTAAAGGAGGAGATTTTGCAAAAATAAGACCTCCCTCATCCAAAAATCAACTGGGAGCTCTTTGCTACCTCCGAGGCCCTGCACCCCTCCTAGCACTTTCCTATTTTTATTCTTTCTTTGTTAATATCATTTTTTCCTTCTAATTATTTATTATCACATAAACACTAGTGATAACTGGGAGACATGACAAAGTATCCACAGGAGAACTGCCTGCCACACTGCCCAGAGGTAATTAGACCTATCATTGCCTTTTCTCAACACTAGTCTCTCACTTGCTTCCGATCTAAAATGGTAGCTAATCCAACTTTGTAATCCCGACTTTTTGCTGTTAAGAATTACATTATCAATACTTTTCTCACGTCATTAAACTTTTGTACAAACCTTTTGAAATGGCTTCAGAGTACTTCAAACCATTGAGATAGCATATTTAACTAAGCTGCAAGTTAGATTCTACATCTCTGATCCCACCCTCCAAAAAAGTCATTGAGATGAACAATTTTAGTCTCAAATCTCTGTCCTTATTTCAGATTATTTGCTTAGGATAAGAGTGGAATGACTATCGTTAAGCCCTTTAATACATGCAGTTCAAATTGCTTTTTAAAAGGCTTATTTCAATTTGTGCTCTCACCAGAGGATATGCAGTTTTTCATATTACCAAGACCTTGCTGGCAAAGTGCCAACATATGTTCTAAAAATGAATATTTGTTCACTTGGTAGTAGGAAAAAAGCTATTGTAATGTATTTTAAAATTAGTTTTAATTTCTTTGATTACAAAATAAGTTTAAAATTTTCTTGTGTTTTTCAGCTATTTGTATCTTCTTTTGTATTATATTTTTCTCTTGGGATTTAACATTTTCTTATTTAGATTAAATTTTTTATTTAAATCAATTTTCAGGGTTCATTATATATTAATGATATTATCCATTCATCTATAATATTTATGGCATACGTATTCCCAGATCGGCATATTATTTCTCTGTTTGGTTGATGTATAGATTATTTTAATATTTATGAGCTCAGATCCATTACCTTTTTCCTTGCATTTTCTTTCACAGCTTTGATTCTTAGAAAGCCCTTCCTTCCCCTTTCAGAGATCAGATTCATATCTATTTCCATACGGTTTTATTATGGTTTCTTTTCTTTCATTCAGTGCTATAGTTCATCTGAAATTCACTTTGGGATAGAGTGAGCTGTAAGAATCTAAACTGTTTTCTTTTCCAAAGAGCTAGACAATTTACCCAATTGTCTTATGAATAATCCATTCACTGCCGACCATTTTCCAATGCTTCCTTTATGTTTGATCTTGCTTTGATAACAAAAAAACAAAACACCCCAAACCATGCTTTTATTTGAGGAAGAAAGACAAGACCCTATGAATAGTTACTGTTGTGTGGCAGGTACTATTCTAAGAGCTCTGCACATCTTCCCAAAAACCCTATGCAGAAAGCATTTTCCTTCCCCCATTTCACAGATGAGGGGATGGAAGCTGAGAGGAGCCACTCCAGGTGGTGGATTCCTCCAGCAGGCTGGCTCTAGAGTCTTAACGTGTCCCTAACAATGACACAGACTGCCCCTGCAAGAAACAAGCTTCCTATTCCAAATTCCAGCTCAGGAAGGACACCTCGCCTAGACCTGGGAATGATTTACAACAGCCAAGATCTGGAAGCAGCCCAAGTACCCATCAGCAGATAAGTGGATAAAAAGCTGTGGTACATTTATTTACACAATGGAATACTACTCGGCCGTAAAAAAAAAAAAAGGAATCTTACCCTTTGCAACAGCATGGATGGACCTGAGAGCATTATGTTAAGTGAAATAAGCCAGTCAGAGAAAGAGAAGTGCCATATGATTTCACTCACATGTGGAATCGAATGAGCTAAACGAACTACCAAGCAAAACAGAAACAGACTCATAGAGAACAGACTAACAGATGTCAGAGGGGAGGGGGTTGAGGGATTCGGTGAAAAAGGTGAAGGGATTAAACAAAAAACTCATAGACACAGACAACAGCACGTTGATTACCAGGAGGAAAGGGTGGGCGAAAGGAGGCAGAAGAAGGTAAAGGGGGGATATATGGTGGTGGAAGGAGACTTGACTTTGGGTGGTGAACACACAATACAATATACAGATGGTGTGTTATAGAATTGTACACCTGAAACCTATATAATTTTATTAACCAATATCACCCCAATAAATTCAATAAAAAAAGGCATCAGGCATAAAGTAGGAAAATTCACAGTTGTAGGAAAAGTAAACACTAAGTCAAAGAGAGCCTTGCCAGCTTCAGCCTAGATCCAGAGATATAAATGTGTGTATATAAAATGTGTGTATATGAAAATATATTTTTAGTAAAAAAACAATATATACACACAGTAAAGAAGACCACACATCAAAATGTACGCATTATCTATGGAATCAGAATGTCTATGTCCAATCCTGGCTTCATGACTGATAGGCTGTGAAGCCTTAGGTAATTTACTTAATTTCTCTAAGTCTCAGCTTCCTCATCAACAGAATGGAAATCATACTACCTCATGAGGTGACAGTGAAACGAATTCATATGTGAAAAGCACTGGAGTAGTGTGTGGCATTTTGAAAGCACTCAGTAAGTGTTCATTGCTATTATTATTATTTTCAAATTTTTCTAAAGTGTGTACTTAAGGACATTTGTAAGAGAAAAGTCAATCTATTTTAACGTGTAGAAAGGTGATAAAACCAGAGACGCTCATCTGCACACTTTCTCTGGTGGTAAGTGGCTCCAGCCCACAACACTGAGCAATGGAGAGTTCCAGTCCCTACCTCATTTTATACCCAACCTCCTAGTTATGTTAATGTCCCAGTTACAGGTCCCAGGGCGCCTCAAAATAAAAATGTCCCAAAGAGAGCTCATCACCACTCCATACCCCAGGCAAAAGGATGGCCCCTGCCCCATTGTAACATTCCCTTTGCTGTTAGGGACTGCACCATCAAAAATCACTCACTGGATGAATGAATGAATGAGTGAACGAATGAACGAATGAATGACTCTGTTCCTCATTTCCCCCCATCAAAGCAATATACAACCCACTACATAGCCATGCAAGCTGAGAACATGCATAGTCTTAATTACCTCCCCGTATGCAATGGTGTTGTTGTATCTTCTCATTTCTGGGTAAACGTGGTCCAGGTACCACTGGAAATTTTTACACTTTAAACTTTTCCTTAAGGCTCTTCTTTCAGAGACATCACCTATGTCAATTCCTGGGTTCTGAAAGTAGAAAGAAGCAAAAGGCATTAGTGACTGGGGAGCTCTGGCGGAAGGGAAGAAAAAACCATCAGAGAGAAATCTTAATTTTTCTGCATGCTCACTCAGAAGGTTGGATCAAGGGGACCTGTCTGATCCTCTAGCCCCAGGCTAGACAATGCTGTCCCCTGAGTGCAGCAGGCAGTCCCCAAAATCAGCTGCCCTGATCACTGCTGTGCGAAAGGGATCCTGGGACACACTGATGTGACAACAACCTACGTTTCCCGCTCCACCTCTCCCACATTTCCTGAGTGACTATCCGAGCCAATTATCAGAGGAATTATTTGATTAAGACAAGAAAATAGATGCTTATATCCCACCTCCTGTCTTTTCTACACATGTGTAATTTCCCCCTTTGTTGGCTCTTTGTGAAGTTCATTTATGCAGAAGTGAAAATAATTTTCCATTGCAAAGCTTGTAATAATGTCCTAATGAATAATTCACTCTGCTTTTACAGAAATGAACCTGTAATGGGCTGCTGTGTGCTGACAGGGAGAAATAAAGTAGCTGAAATATGACCCCACAGACTCAGCTGCAAGATGGCCAGGAACTAGGGGAGACAGGATGCTCTCTCCACAGAGGTGGGCAGCCCGGCAGCATGTTGGGGGCCCGGGGGAAGGGTTCAGATTATCTCATTAAGATTTCTTCTTTGGCAGCCAAACAATGATTTCCAAAGGAATGTCCCTTTAAATGTCAAGCATTAAAATTCAAAGGCAGACCTGGGCAGCAATATTTAACTCTTTGTTTTAATATACTTAGCATGATTAATGAGAACGGGCACTCGTGAAAGTGTGGTAGGGGACACTGGCATTAGGGACCAGGTTGTTTGTACTGATGGAGAAAGCACTGGGGATAGAGTCGGCAGCCCCGAGGTCTTAGGACTTTACATCACATTACCATTCTAGGTCACAGCTCCTCGTCTGCAAAACAGGAAAAATAACACTTATTCCCCTGACACCACAGGGCTGTGGGAGAGGTGAATAAAGACTCAGCTTCACATCCCTGCGCGGCCATGTGCTATGTGCAGGACCTTAAGCAAGTCACTTTTAACTTCCAGAGCTTCGGTTTACTCATCCATAAAATGGACATCACCCTAGGTTCATATCAAACTAGCATTCATTGCACATGTCTTATGTGCTCTGCTCTGCTCTAAGTCTCATTTTTAGCTTCACAGGCGTCTCAGGAGAGACATGTTAACAATCCCTGTTGTACAGATGAGGAAACCGAGGCAGATGGTTCCTAAGTCGTGAGGTTGTTATGAGGACTCAATGAGATACTGCAAATGTGGAGCTTATCTAGTGCCTGGGACATAGTAAGGGCTCAACACGTGTTGCCTATATTTATATCATAACATGTAAAATCACTTATAGTGTCACAGCTCGAAAGTGCTACATTGCCATGGGGGTTTTCAATCCATTAGAACCTTATTTCCACAACTGTAACAACAATGATATAAACTCTCCACCTTTACCCTCTTTATCCACAGACTTGCACATATTCAACTGCATCTCTGCTGTTCTGGGCTCCAGCCTTCTGAAACCTTGGGGCCGCTATTTCCCAGCAGGAACAATTCTAGGCAACTTTCTCAAGGGCATGGCTCGAGGAGATAAACCCAGCTGTGGCTGGGGGTTCAAGTCACCCTGCTGTGTTATGGAAGACAAAGTGCTCTAAGGATGTCACCGTCATCGAGATTTGGTACTTAGATTTAGTCCTCACAACCGCCCATGGAAGGAGGACCTGCTATTAGGCCCATTTTATAGCTGAGGAACCTAAGGTACAAAGGCAGTACAAATGGATTCATTCAAGATCTCCTAACTAGTGAGCGGCAGAGCTGGGATTCAAAAGGCTGCAGTGACATGGGTATTTTCCTAGGTTGCATTCTTGGCAGAATATGGGGGAGAGCTGGAGAGCTCTGTAAAAAAGAGATTCAGCATACAGTAGGGGCACATGTCATGAGGCCACTGGAGCTCCTTGGGAGGGCACACAAAAGAGATGACAGGGTCTGGGGCCAAAAACTTTGGGCAAGAATCTTCTGGACAAAGTATATGTTCAGGAGCAGGGCATCCAGATTAATGTAATAAAACTCAGACTAACACAATACAACCCTTCTAATCTTTATAAATGGGTTTTGAGATTTCTGTTGTCATCGTCCCCAAGAACAGCGAGAGTTCTGAAACCTGGAGATCTGTGTGGACTCCCTCAAAACACATTCATAATTTTGCCAGTCTGAGCATCTTTCTCAGGAGGAAGCATCAGCTTGTTAAAGGGATCAATGACCCATCAAACACAAGGTTCACTGTTCTAAGGAGGTGGGGAATGATGCAGGGCCCTACCTCCAGCGGCAGGTTCCACGCTATGTACACATGAGACTTGTAATCGTCCATCCAGACCTCAGCCACCCGGAGAGCATTCCTCTTGGTGTAGAAGCCGATGTTGCTGTTGTATGGCTTCTTCTTCCGTTCGATGTGGGCCACCCGTGAGCAAGGCAGGACCTCCATGCTGCCCCCGCAGAGCCACACCTAGAGGTGCAAGAACTTCATCAGCCTGACAGAGGAATTCCCAGAGGCCACTGCCCCTCCCTGAGGCCCGAAGGCAATGGCTCAGGAGATTTAGCATGAGTGAGAAGTAACCTTTTAATATACAAAGCCACTGAGATTTCAGGGTTGGTCTGTTACTGCAGCACAGCCAAACCTAACTTAACTAAAACAAGTAGAAAAGAAGATCTGGGGAATTTTTATAGATATAATAGCTTAGAATATTAAAATCCAGCTCTGGGTAAGAGAGGCCCATAAAGGTGCTCCCGGGGACACATGGTTTCCTTTGTTTCCCCACCTGGATGAATCTGTACCCTGCAGACCTAGACTGGAAAAATGAAACTAGAAAACAGACCATCTTTATTTGTATCAGCAAAAAGTATACAGTGGTCTAGTTCTGCATTGTTGATATGCTCTGTTTTGGAGTCGCAGATACTGAACTTTCTAGAAGCACCCGTCCCAACATGATCATGAGCAGGTGTCATTGTTGCTGGAATATTCAGGTGGAGGCCAAAATGATGGTTGCCTTTGAGAGATGCAAAAGCCCAAGGAAGCAACACCTGCCGTTCTCTGCCTGGGCATGGCAGATGTCCAGGCTCCCAGGCCCTGCTCCCAGGGGAAAGCTGGATCATGCAGCTACTCTCAGTCTTAGCCAGGAAAAACAAAGCATTTCTGATTGTCCAGAAGGACTAATTTCTGAAAGTGAATGTCCTGATACTGGTGAGGAGAAGAAGAAGACACAGAGAAATTTCAGGACCTGTGAGACTGTCCTGCTGTGAGCTCCTGTGTACTCTCCGTAAATGAGAGTGTGCTGGTGAACTGACTCAGGTCAGCACAGACAATGTATGCTCGTCCCACACTGGGTCATTTCAAGCCAGTCTACCTTTAGTCTTCCAGAAACCCACACCTAGAGGATACTGGGACACTCTTGAGTATTTGTCCACCTCTACTGGGCCTTCACTGATTAAATTTGGTGACATAAGTCATGTGTGTATGATCTTGTGTTTCGATTTCCCAACTCTGGCTACACCACAGGGGAATCATACTGCTGGAAAATTCTCCCTATTGCCAAGAATCCTCTCTCACCCATGCTCATTCCTTCAATGAGGAGACTGTGAGCTAAAAGATTGGTAGAGAGTGGGTGGTTCAGACTAGTTTGATTTGGGACCTGATAACTAGGTGTCCCAATGGGTTGGTGCAGATCCACTAGAAGGAAACCAAATCAGGCAGGCGAAATACTGCAAGAAGCCTGTGGGGAATAGGGCCAAGAGAAAACAAGGGGTCGACAATATGCAAAGACACAAGTTCCACAGTTATGTGGCATTTAGTAATTTCAAGATTCAGGGGGCCCTGGCCGGGTTAGCTCGGTTGGTTAGAGTATTGTTCCAATTGCCAAGGTTGTGGGTTCAATCCCAGTCAGGCCACATACAAGAAACAGCCATTGAATGTATAAATAAGTGGAACAACAAATCAATGTTTCTCTGTTTCTCTTTCACTCTCTCTCCATTCCTCTCTCTCTCTCTATAATCAGTAAGTAAAAATTAAAAAAAAAAAAAAAAGAATCAGGGAATGAAATGAAAGATACTTGATGTTCACCAGTGAGAAAACTTACTATTGATAGGATGGCAATACTCCCCGAACTCATCTAAAGATTCAGCTTTCAACAAGGGTGCCAAGACAGTTCAGTGGGGGAAAGAATAGTCTTTTCAACATATTATTCAGGGATAACATGCAAAAAGATGCATTTGGACCACTACCTCACAACACATACAAAAATTAGCTGGAAATGGATCAAAAACCTAAATGTAAGAGCTAAATCTATAGCACTCTTAGAAGAAAACACAAGAGCAAATTTTCATGACTCTGGATTAAGCAAATGTTCACACCAATGGGGCTTGTAGGCCACATTAAGAAATTGGTTTTTGTTCTAAATGAGAAGCTGAAGGATTTGGATTTGAAAAGATCAAGTCTGGGGAACATATCAGCACACTAGGGAGGACAGAGAAAACAGAAGGGTCTTACTGTCATCCAGGGGAGAAACATTAGTAGCTTTGGCTAGGGCAGCAGAATAGAAGAAACAGGGATATGGACAGACTGGAGAGTTAACAGGCAAATGATCAAGAAGAGATTGTATATGGCACTGAGGGAGAAGAAGGGTCAAGAATGACTCCCAGGTTTCCTGCTTGTGCAGCCTGATATACAGTGGGAACATTATTCACTAGGCCAAAACGCCTGCCCAAACCTAAACCTACCCAGGCTTCTGGAGGCAGAAGACAACATCACTTTCAACAATAAATAAACATTATGCAACATGACCAAGTAGGATTTATCCAAAGGATACAAGGATCCTTCAACATCTGTAAGTCAATCAACATGATGCATCATATGAACAAAATAAACGATAAAAATCATATGATCATCTCAACAGATGTAGAAAAAAGCATTTAACAAAATGCAAAAAATCAACATCATTTTATGATTAAAGACCCTCAGAAAAGTGGATATATAAAGAACATACCTCAACACAATACAGGCTATATATGATGAAGCCATAGCTAATATCATACTCAATGGTGAAAAGCTTAAAGAGTTTCCTCTAAGATCAGAAACAAGACAAGGATGCTCATTATCACCATTTCTATTCAACTTAGTATTGGAAGTCCTTAGCATATCAATCAGACAAGAAAAAGAAATAAAGGGCACCAAAATCAGAAAGGAAAAAGTAAAACTCTCACTATTTGCAAATGACATGATACTATATGTAGAAAACCCTAAAGACTCTACAAAAAAACTGTTAGAGCTAATCAATGAACCCAGTAAAGTTGCAAGACACAAAATCAATATACAGAAATGTGTTGCATTTCTATACACCCATAATGAGTGATCAGAAGGAGAAATTAAGAAAACAATCCCATTTACAATTACACTAAAGGCATAAAATACCTAGGAATAAATTTAACTAAAGAGATCAAAGACCTGTAATCTGAAAACTATAAGACATTGAAGTAAGAAACTGAAGGGGATTCAAATAAATGGGAGGTTATACCATGCTCATGGATTGGAAGATTTAATATTGTTAGAATGGCCATACTACTTAAAGCAATAAGATTCAATGCAATCCCTGTTAAAATATAATTGGCATTTTTCTCAGAACTAAAACAACTAATCCTAAAACTTATATGGAACCATAAAAGACCCTGAATAGCCAAAAAAACACACCCTTGAAATAGAACAAAGTGGGAGGTATTATGCTCCCTGATTTCAAAATATACTACAAAGCTACAGTAATCAAAATAGCATGGTACTGGCATAAAAGAAGATGTAGAGACAAATGGAATAGAATAGAGACCACAGAAATAAATCTTCACTTCTATGTTCAATTAATCAATGACAAAGGAGGCAAAGATATACACTGGGGTAAAGACAGTCTCTTTCATAAGTGTGTTTGCTGGACAGATACATGCAAAAAATAAAATTGGGCAACATTTTTACACCATGTACAAAAATAAACTCAAAATGGATTAAAGACTTAATTGTAAGATCTGAAACATAAAACTCCTAGAAGAAAACAGGCAGTAAATTCTATGACATTGGTCTTAGCAATCTTTGTGGATATGTCTCCTCAGGTAAGGACAACGAAAGAAAAATAAACAAATAGGACTACATCAAACTAAAATGTTTTTGCTCAGCAAAGGAAACAGTCAACAAAATGCAAAAACAACCCACTCAATGGGAGAAAATATTCTCCAGTAATATATCCAATAAGGGTTTAATATCCAAAATATATTAGAAACTCAGATAACACCACAAACCCCAAACAACCCAATTAAAAAGTTGGCAAAGGGCCTGAATAGACATTTCTCTAAAGAGAACATACAGATGGCCAATAGACATATGAAAAATGCTCAACATCACTAATCATCAGGGAGATGCAAATCAAAATCACAAGAAGATGTCACCTCACTCCTGTTAGAATGGCTATCATCAATGAATTAATAAATAACATATTTATTATGTGTAGGAAAGGGAACCCTCATACACTGGAATTGTATACTGGTGCAACCACTATGGAAAACTATATGGCCAATGGTCTGACTGTCCTCTATATTTTCCCAGCCAAAGTCTCACATCTTTCCTTCAAGGACAGGATGAGAAGCTGTCTTTGATTGCTGGTCCCAAGCCTGGCTGTGCTCTGAATCACTAAGGGAGCTCTTTAAAATTACAAATGTCTGTATCCTACCTCAGACCCAAGAATCTAATTCTCCAGTGGTGGAGCTGAGGTACCACTGGGTGTTTAAAGAGTCCCCCCCTTTTTATATTGTGATATGTAGCCAGGTTTGGGAACCACTAGCCTAGGACACATTAATATCTTTTCCAAGGCTGTGGTATTATGACTCAATATTACAGGAGCTGAAAGAAGCCAGGAAGTGCCTGGCCAAAGCCAAGTCAGCCTGGTAGTGGTTCCAGGGTGCTGAGAAGAGGTACCAGCGTCTAATGTGCCAGGTGCTGCCCAGTCTCGCCAGGGCCTCTGTCACTGAGGTTTCTGGTCAGCAAGGGAGGCAAGTGTGGGAGCCTGGAGCCACTGCCCAGGTGGAGGTGAAAAGCTGTGGGGGACACCAAGGAGCCAAAGCCAGAGTGACTGGTTTTCTTATACCAGCTATTCTTGTAGGCAGTGGCCTCCAATCATTTTTGATATGCATCTTCATCTGGAAAAAAATAAAAGTGTGTCCTCCAATATGTTTACTTCATTCATTTTAAATTATATGTACATGCTACTGTCTAATATATTTTATACCTGATAAATTTATATATATAGATTAATTTAAAATGATATAAAAGGGGAAGCATTACTATATTCCTCTTGTACTCCAGTGGATTTTCTTGTGTGGCCCACTTTGGAAACCACCACAAGAATTCAAATATTCCAGGCAGAGTCTTATCCCACCATTTTCAGAGACCACCTATTTATCATAAGCAGTAAGAAG